AAAAAAAACATTAGGTAGAGTGAAAATTAAATTGCCACAAGCAATTATACCTTTACAATGTTATTTGAGCTAGCTGAAGCTTCTGTTTTTCCTATAATTGATATATACTAGTTTAATACATCATGTATTTACTTGTTTCATTATAGATCAAAGTAAATCTGTTTCCTACATTTTTCTTTCCTTTATACAACTAAAACGATATTTCACTGCTTTATCTTGTGATATATTTCATATACTTATGATTTCTCAAATTTTTTCATGTATAGCCCTACTTAAGTTGAAGAAATTAACTTTAGGCTCACATTGCCTTTGAGGAGTGAAGCTAGGATTCAGTCAAAGCAGTTTGACTTCAGAGTCCACTTTGCCACTCTGCCAAAGCAGAGGGTGCATTATGTAATGGACATGATACTAAACTGCAATCCATATTCCACACAAAAGAGAAATCAGCATGCTTCAGTATCCTCAGTTACAACATGGGAGTTATAATAGCCATTTCCTATTTGCCTCACGGGTCTGTTTCAAAGATAAATAAAGTTGTCTAAATTCAAAAGTTGTAAGTTCCCTGAAGGAAAATATAAAAATTCAGAGCAGAACAATTTATACTGGCTGTGTATGTTTGATGGAAGTATTTATTTATTTTTTACTTCACCTAGGGATTTCTCAAAAAATAGAACTGCATTGAGGATTCCTAAGGAACAAATATAGCAATGATAGCCAAGTGGCCAAAAGGACTGCATAAAGACAGTAACTTTTATTCTAATAGAAATAAAATTAAGGTATATTCTTTATGAATTTTTCTAAATTAATCATATGAAGCTAACTTAACCCTGCTAAAAATGTCAGTAAAAACTGCACGACAATTCTGCATTTAATTTTCACTTATGAAGGTATAAGTTAATCTATTTCTCCCATATTATCTATTGAATCTTAAAGACAAGTAGTAGGGAAAGAATATTACACCAAAACCAAATAGTAATTATTTCAGGAATTCAAGGATAGTTAATTAGTTATTCAGTAAATCAACCATCTGCTTACTGTGAAAAAACTACCTATTTCTCTTCACTCCCTCCCCTTCTCCCCAAGTAAGTTTGTATTAAATTTCAATATCTTACACCAATTGATAGAAAAAAAATTAAAGAAGCCATGTTGAAAAGATACTCTCTTTACATGACAAGGAATATTTTTCTTAAATGAACCACTGGCATCATATGGTACAAGATGTGAGACATTCATATGTGATGTGAGATAAGGAATAAAATAGGGAGTTGATTATTTTTCTATTTAAGGTTTTCTGGAAGAATTTGACAATGAAAAATATAAAATTATTATAACATATAGTTTCTGGTAAGAAAAAAATAATTATAATTATTGAAAAATATATAAGTATAAAATTAGTAAAATGACCAAGTGAAAGATTATAGAACTAAAATAAAAGTGGGTGAGCATCAAACACATGTTAAAAAACATTTTATCAATAATGACCAGTTAATGAATGTACTACATTGAAACAAAAAACCTAATGTTTAGTATTGAAATAAGAGTGTAAAACATATACAAATAATTTTAATATATAAAATGTATAATTTACATAGGCAATATTAAAAGTTCACTATGAGACATAAAATGTTTGAATTGAGTATTATATCACTGGGTTGAGGGAGAATAAATAATATAATAATCTTTACAAATTGGTTAATTGCAATTACAATCAAAATTCTAGTAACTTTTTTTAGAGCATGGATTGAAACAGTGAAGAAAAATGTAGTTGAAAAAAATATATGAGTATTTATTTAATAAACGTGGAAGAAAGGGCAATGATAAAGCGCCTTGAGAGGCCCTACAGAGAGATGCCTATTAGCTGGAACTTGGAAGAGACTCAGCCAGTGAAGTGAGATAACTTAGGCAGAGATGAGGTACCCTCCATGGGGGCCTCATAACCCAATTCAAAAACAAGAGCCTTGATTGCTTGTATATTATAAGTTACTCTGCGATGTTGTTAATCAGAAAATTACATATATAAAAGTAAGTACAACAAAATTGATAATCCTTAAATATATTTTAACATGGGAGAAATAGGTTTTATGTACTCAGATACCATAAAATATGAAGGAGAAAAGAAAGCCCTAATAAATAAAATTTCTTTACATTAACATATACTTGAAGATTCCTTCCCTATACCACAATAAATTTTTGAAGTGTTGAACAGTGGATCTCATATAATAAATAAACTGGATTAAATTATAGAAATCCTGGTAAACACTACGGGCTCCTAAGTACATACTGAACGCCACAGCACTGAGTGAGATCACCCTGAAGATGAGTGTAATACAGGCCAATTGCCCAAGGACTGAGTCCCCAGAATCCTGGGCTACACAGAGAGGGAAGCACAGGGGGCTGAGAAGTAGCCTCCTGGAGTTTGACAGTCCTCAAAACATTATGGCAGAGAAGCTAACCAAACAGAGAACTTCAAGAAGGGGGTGACTGCCAGTGGCAAACAAGGCTAAGAGATCACGTAGGTGAGACCACCATGGCTGAGCATTAGTTAGGCACTATGGTATAGTGGTGGAGATGAAAGCCAGGTTTTAGTAATTAAGAGAGAATGAACAGAGAGAAACTGTAGGCAGGAATGACTCTTCACAGATGGAAGGGAAGAAGGAAGTTATAGCTAGAAGGAAAGCAGAGTCAAAAGAGTTTGTATTGCATTTTAGGTGACAATATAAGAGGAAAAAGAGATTAGCAGGAGTGATGTCCTTGAGTGGGAGACATGTGAGATATTGAATGTATGAGGAAGACTCAATTTTTTTTCCCTAGACAGAACAACTGATCCAAAGCATGGAAAAGAGTCTGAATAATAGAGCACAGATGCAAAGATGTTGGTGCCTGAGGTGGTAGGAGCACATGTTCCTTCCATTCTGATGGCTTCTAATTTCTCAAATAAGAAGCAGCACTGATAACGGAGAATTAAGAGGTGGGAGAAGAGGTTTGGACTTGATAGGGAAGAGAAGATATGAACTTGTCTTTTAGGAATGTCCACTAGAGAAAAGTGCCTGGACTGCAGGGTAGCACAGAGGGTCCATTTGAAGAGAGTGGTCATGAGCTTAAACTGAGAATCAAGGGCAGTTGTCTGTTTTTCTACAGCCACACTTGGCTTTGAAGGTGCAGGTGTAGTAGATAGAGAGTAGGATTCAACCAATGAGAGAGCAGCAAAAAATGAACATCGTAAGCAGTAATGCTAATATTATACTGGTTAAAAACATGGAAGCACGAGAGATAGGGTATAAGTATCAATGATGAGCTTTGAAATGTTGAAGTATTAAGAAGTGAACTGGAGAGAAAACCGATGGCTAAGAAATAGTAGGGTCCTTAAAATGGAGACTTCAGAGGTACATGGAACCAACAGTTAAGGATATAGAAGAAAAAATAACCAAGAATTATGATAGGATAGTGCTAAAGATAATGAAAATGATATAGAGGAAAAATCTTCAGAGAACAGCGTAGCTTATCCCAGGATCAGAAGGCAACTTTAATAAGCAAGTGTAATTGGAAAGAGATGGGAACATGAGATTCACAGCAAGTTGGTCATGTGGAAGAGAAAAGGAGCAGGATATAAGACCATCAGTGAGGGCCACAGACCCCTGTCTTACCTTCAGACTCAGGAATGAAAAGAGAGAAAACAGTGGCTCCTACTTAAGAGGGATAGCAGCAGCTAGCAAGGGGATAGCCAGGATTCAATGAGAGCAAGACTAAGAGAACAAGAAGAAAAGAAGAGAAGTATGTAGGGGATTTTGCTGACATCTAACCACAAGTTCTGCCGAGACTCGGTGGAAGGACTTCAGCAGATGAGAAGAGGTGGCACATGGGGTCAGCAGAGACATATAGAATTGTGTGGTGATTCGTTAAGGGGAGGGGTGGTGACATAGGAAACCTGAATTTCTCATAGCAACTGAAATGCAAAGGGTGAAACACATGAGGGTTGTAACTGTTCCAAGGTAGAGCAGACTTTTAATGTGCTGCTATTCTTCTATTTCATGACACAAACTGGTTTTTCCAGTTATCATTTTTCATTCCTTTCTGAAAATGTAGAATATGTTGGTTGTTGTTTTTCTCCTACATGTTTTATTCTACACACACACACACACACACACACACACACACACACACACTCAATCATGCTCTCTGCAGATCAGCTGGCCTCTGCATACAGTATCTCACCTGGACCTTGGACAAGAAAGGATTAGGTGCCTACCTGGCATATGGATGTTTCAGGATCACACAGGCTACTGTGTCCATTGCACTGACATGGAACACAGGTTCCCAGGGTGGGACCAGGGATGCGGCCACGTGGTTCAGAACGAAGTCGATAAAATCCTGGCATACATGTCTGAAAGAAAAGAAAGCCAATTAGGACAGCCAAGTAGAAATCTTGCTTCAGCAATGAAAATTCTGGTTATGAAGATGGACTTCTTTTTCCAATGTGTGATAGGGTAACACCACTTACAAACTCAAGTGCGTGTTGATACCTAATGTAAATTTTTGCTGGGTCCCTCCTCTGCACACAGATACAGGCAGCATCCATGTAACCAGATATTAGTGAAAAAAAAAAAAGCTTTCATTTTCAGTATAGCTCTTTGCCTGAAAAAGCTTTACTGTTTTTTTTCCCACTTGAGAAAGAGGTTTATTTTTAATTAACATTGTCATATGGCTAACAAGACAATTCCAACATCCTTGACAACCTAAAATCTGTTTCTACTGTGTTTAAATGAATAGCAAATGTCCAATGAAATTCATCAAAAAATTTTAAAATGTCAAGAATGCATTATATATATTGATATCATGTAAAGAATATAAAAGGAAGAAATGCAAAATAATCAAAGCTATTCATTTCTTGGGACTATTAGGCTACCAATAAAAATTTTCTTTCCCTGATCTATTTGTTTTTCATTTTGCAATAAAAATCTGAAAGCCAACAGAAAATTGCTAGTGAAGTGGATGAAATCAAGATGTTCATCTTCATTCAGTTATCATATAAATATATCAAAAACATGTCTGGCTTTCTGGAAGGAAGATCCCAGCTCTAGAGAGGACAGTCTGAGTTCCAGGTTCAGACCCCTAGCATTCATCAGACATAGCTTCGTTTCTGGTTAAAAGGTAGTGATCTGTTTTTCAGATTCCACTGATTATAAAAGGGCTGTTTTACCAACTTAGCTAATGAAGTTTTTTTTTTTTTCACTTAAAAATTTTGCTCCCATTGAAGGAAGAAAAATGATTGCTGAAAATGAAGAAAAAATAATGGATTAAGAACTTCCTACTGCCTCATATCCCTTTGATTCTGGCATTAAGTAGTCCAGATTGGAATATACATGGATTGCTTAGAAAGAGAAAATCGATCAATACTCAGCACACTCATCCTGTTTATTTTGATTTGGATAATGTGTACCTCAATTAAGTACTTAATTAAGAGTCTCTCTGCTTTTAGAAGCCAATAATAAATTTTAATGAGATTTAAAAATGCCTCAGCTTTAAGCAAAACTGATAGAGAAAATGAAAAGAGTATTCAAAAGTTTTTGCATTTTGTTTGTGTCACAGTGGGCATAATCATATATATTGATAAAGCTTCTTCCTATTATCTATTTCATAGCAGTTATTTCTGTAATTTTATAGGAATATAATTTTATAGCAATTTTTACCATTGCTATAGAATAAGATCTGGAAATTAATTGAGGAATTAATTTAAGAAAAATTGAAGAAACATACTGAGGTATATTTAAAGGTGGTTCACAGTGTAGGCTGTCCCAATTTGTTGGTGTGCAAACTATTGAATAAAGATAATTTTTTTTTGCATGGATTTCATCCCTGAGTATCTTCCTAAGGTATTGTTATTATATTGTTATTTTATTGGTATATGTGCTAGGTTGCTCCACCCCTAGAGATCCTAGGGTTGGTTATAAAACTCCTGGGAGAATATGATAAGCATATCAGGTTTGCAATTGACCAGTATGCTTCCCCATTTCCCCTGTTTGCTTTTAGAGGGGCGTGCACACTCCTTGGTATTATGGCATAATGAATACGGAAACCATGGTTGTAAAGGTAGTTTTTTTTTTTTTTTTTTCCTGCAGGACGTGGTCAAATTAATTATCTGTGATACACAGTTTCCTCATCCCACAAATAAGCAGGTCTGTTAACTCAGAGGATTTCTAATGTTTCCAAAATTTTAGATTATTATTGTGCCTTGATAGATTATAACAATGAGTTACCAAAGGAGGGGGACTATTCCACAATGCAAAAACTTAGAAATTTTAAAGAAACTATGTGACCTTTTTATTTCTTTTTAATCTTCTCTTTTTTTCTTGATCTTTTGTATTTATTCTTTATATTTAAAAATAAGGGTGTTTTTCAAAAATTATAACTCCTAGCACTCTAAGGGAACTGATATTATTCATGAGAATAATTATATTTGAATTAGGATTAAAAACACTTGCTTAGGCTGGGGATGTGGCTCAAGCAGTAATGTGCTTGCCTGGCATGGGCTGGGTGCTGGGTTCAATCCTCAATACCACATAAAAATAAAATAAAGATGTTGTGTCCACCGAAAACTAAAATATAAATATTAAAAATTCTCTCATTCTCCTCTCTCTCTCTCTTTTAAAAAATACAGCTGCTTTACAATGTCTCTTCTAAAATTCTTTCTAGAATACAATGGTGAATTAAAGAAAAGCAAATAAATGAAAATTTTACTGAGTTCATTTTATCTTTTCTTTTTCTTGAACTTAAACTTTTCCACAGTTTTCTTCTCACATACTGAAATTATGCATAGCTCAATTGATTCTGCTTTCTTTCCACTTTTACTTTCATAATATAATGTCTCTTAAAAATATTAGAATCCAATTTGTACAAAAATGTGAAAAACTAGAGAGAACAGAATGAAACATGAGAGAGGCCAGCAAGCCCTAGGCTCAGAGCTGCACAGCACCCTCCCTTTGTAATGGAGAAAATCCTACATAAAATTTTGGAAAGCTTTAGCTGTTTCAAGTAGTGAGAAATGAACATGAGTTTAGTAATACCTTCTTTCCTCACAGTTCAACAATAAAAATAGATATTTGAGCTCGAGCCAATAAAAATACTCTTGTCTTTTATCTTTGCATGGGTTTCTCAACCAGGCAAATTTAACTTCAGTTAATTTGTTCTACCTCTTGCTACATGTGATTATTGTGTAGGTTTCATGTACTACAGACCTGAGTTTCCTCACCTGGAACATAAGAATCTTGTACAACATAATAGCTGAGTATAAGTTTATCTGCATTTTATAAATAGGCCTACTGTGGTTCAAATTGCTTCTGCTTAGCTGTGGGATCATCATGGACAAGTTCCTTAATGTGCCTAAGCTTCAATTTCCTCATCCATTACATCCATTACATCATACTCGATGATGGTATATGTATATTAGGAAAGGTGATTGGACTTGTTCAGGATATAGTAAGCATTCAATAAATAAACTTTGTTTTTGTACAGCATTGTTGTATGAATTAAATGGCATAACTTTACTTAAAATAAATCAACACATATGTGGAGGATGAACTAAAAATAAAGGCAATTGTGATTCTTCTGAGCTACACTGGGAAAGAAAATTACAATGTATGTCATTATCCTTACCATGTTTTCAATATTTGTATGCACATATCAGTCAACCATAGACTAAATATACAGTGGTGGTCCCATAAAATTATATTGCCTATTGATATTGTAGCTGGCTTAGTTTATGTGAGTACTCTTTATGATGTTCATAAGTGATGAAATTGAATAATGACACAGTTCTTAGAACATGTCCCTGTTGTTAAACAGCACATGACTAAACACAGTTGAAAACTGAGTTTTGAGTCTCAGTTCAACTGAATGTGTTAAAGGAGACCCTGAAAGGTGGGAATACATAAAGGGACAAGTCTACTTCTACATTTTGTCTTTTGGATTTTATCATTTGATAATAGTCATAAACTGGGTGGGGATTTAAAAAGTTAGTTTGCTACAAGTGACTGATTATGAGTGGTGACAAAAGGAGCACCAGCCATTCAACTGTGAGCTGGAATCCCTGCTATAATATAGGAGGTGGGGGCGGGTAGAGGCTGAAACTATTAAAACATGACCTAGAAATCATTGGTGAATTTTTGATTCCCATGATATGATTGCAAAGTACATATATTTAATATAGGATATTTTCCATTTTTAAGAAAAAAATTTCATGAATATGAATAGTACCTGCATGCATCCTAAACTGACTTTAGTTTAGTTTAGGCAACATGCTAAGCCTAACCTAACCTGAAGAACAGGTAAACTCCAAGACTCTAACAAAAACAAATCTAGTAATAAAATAGTGTCCTATATTTGACTTCCAAAGATAATCATAAATTTTAATGATTGGGCACTTTTAGCACTAACATTGTTAATGAGCAGGGATGCAGTTATAATGCTACAAGGTAGGTCTTTAAAACTTAAAAGTATTTTAAGCGTAACCAATACTTTTTTTTTTTTTTTGGTCTATGTGCAGTCACATTTTGTGTAAAAAAATGTGAAAGGAAGAGCCTGAAATGTAGATATCTCCAGAATACCACACATTTGGTGAAAATACTGTGAAGGAATTGCTTTGTGTATTCATGACCCAAAGCATATGTTACTGGAATGGGATGTACTATTTCAAAACTGTCCTTAGCTCTTGCTTTGATGATTAGATTTTTATGCCTGGTAATTACACTTTAGAATCAAGATGAATCATAAATAAGATGTATAATGGATTAGAGGCAATGGGTTGTGGCAAACATCTCAGGTACCCTATTATGAGAGATAAGCCTTTATCTTTATAATCTCCTCACTAAGATATTACTGTAATTATTGTCTGTAAATAGGAGCTTAGGTGAAATTCACAGGACACAGGCAAAGCCACCGGTGCAGATGATTGAACATATTCCCAGTTTTTCTTGATTTCATTCTTTTATCATTTTTTAAATTTGTATTAATTTATATTTTCATACAATGGAAAATTACTAAAATTAATAGGAAATCATGTTTTAGAACATATTATTTGAAAAGCCTATTGACCACGATAAGAAGGGATTTTAACATTTGAAATCAGTAACGGAAGGTAAATTGCATTAAAATAAATTGCCACTCTACTAACAGTTTTGTTGGTAAGTGATCAGTATTATTTTAAATAAATTCAGAGAAAATAGAGTTGTAATAACTTTCTTTCAAGATATCTAAAGATCAACCTTGAGTATTTGCTGGATATCTTCTATAGCAGAATAATATTGCAGAGTCATAGAATTTTAGAACTTCAAAACCCAACCTGTCATTTCATAGATTGGATAACTATATAACTAATGACTATAAAAATTAAGGGAATTGACCAAAGATACATAGTGAGTCAGCAGTGCAGCTGCACACTCCCTGGAATAAATAAAAGTTTATCTCTTGTCTGGAAAAATCTGAAGTTCTTTCTGTCCTTTATATCTTTCGTGCTTACTGGGAAGTTAACATATTTTATATGAGCACACTGTCTCATTATTTACTCATAACTTATACACTGTGTATGAATGTGTATATTTGGATGGGTTGTATGTATATATGTATGTATAAATGCAATACATAAACCTACATGTTGGTATACCAATGTATGAATTGATGTACATAGGAGTTATGATTTAATAATAAGATTGATTATTTGATTATTTATTAAATCAAGCTAGGCACATTCAAATGTATATTGCCCTCAGAGCAGTAACAAAAAGAGGCTATGAAATTATTTCAAGGTCGCTTCACAAGATTTCCGAGTTATGCTATGAAATTTCTCTGCATGGTGTAAATACATATGATAATAACATCAGTTTACAATGGGGCTTTCCACATATGTTTTCAATTAAGTTAATCCTTATGAAAATTCAAGAGGTAAACTCTCCCAAGGTCAGTAACAATCATGGGAGCCAAACTAGGTAAGATTCACCAAAACCAAATGCCTTTTTCTTTTCATTTTGCCATGCCACTTCTCAGGAATATTCAGTATTTTTAAATTGTACTTTTGTTTTGACCTGGTGTCATCATTTGACTTGTGTGCCATACTTAACAAAAATTCCCAGATCTATTCACAGAATAAGGTATAGAAAATCATTTATACATAAATCAACACATGGATGTAGATTTATGACAATAATAATAATATTAACCTCAATAACTAGCACTGACTCTATGCCAGGCTTGATGACCAGGGCTTAAAGCTCATAGCTTATTTTGTTTTCATAAGATTCACAGGCTGTAGGAAAGGGAGTTATTAATATTATTTGACTGCTAAGCCATGGGCACCAACCACTGTGACTAATGAGAAAGAATCTTGACTGTCAAGAAGGTTCCTGAGGCCCCTCTTAGGCCAAGTGTTGGACTAGAGGTCTGCAGGAGAGGCCAAGTGTGGTGGCAGTTATTCTGGGATTTGGGAATGCACCATCTTCCCCTGAAAGAGCTTTTGTAACCTGTTGCAAAGTCTCAGCCCTAGTACATGGTGAAGCTGAGGTTCAAACTCATTTGTCATCCATTTCATGTTTCCGGCATTATCTCTATTAATTGATATTTGTAGAAATTGAATTGACTTCCAGAAGACGAAGATCTACAAAATTTTCCAATTCTGAAGGTAGTCAAAAGAATATCCCAGAAAATTAATTTTTTTATAAAGGTCATTTTGAAAATGCAGTGACTGAATGACAGCAGCACTCTTGAAACAATATATATCATTCTAAGAAGCCACATTGAAGGGAACAGCCTGCTGCTTAGTGCTTAAGTTTTGTTATGATCTCTATAAAAACACTTTCAAAACCTGATACAATTGTATCTCATAATCACTGCAGTTTAAATGCCTCTAACTGTTCAGAAATAGTGCCAAGAAAATAGATCAGTTATAATAGACAGGCCTTTTGAAAACAATGTTATCTCCCAACTGTTTCGTAATTTTTATGAATCTTTTAATTTTTTTATCAAATATTTCTCTTTAGCTCTGATTTGTACTCCTTGGTCACAATAACATCATCCTGTTGCTACTGTTTCTAACACTGTGAGGGAAAGATCCAATAAAACAGGTGAAGACTATGTATAAGAGCACAACTGGGATTTGGGAATGCACCATCTTCCCCTGAAAGAGCTTTTGTAGCCTGTTGCAAGGTCTCAGCCCCTAAGGGGGTGTAGGATATTCCACTTGGCTCCTGAAATGAGGGGAAGGGGGTCAGTAGCAGCCAGCTTACCTCACAGGACAATCCAGAATAGCCCACAGGACAATCACATTTTTCTATCAAGTGAGCTGGAGGACTCTCTGCAGTTATACGTCCTGGTTCAGCTACCTCCATGGCAATTTCAGAAATTCTGGAAAGAGCAAATACAATCTTAGATCATCCCATCAGTCAGCTCAGGCCATCTCAAAATACTCAACCCTGCAAGAAGACTCTCTTCAGATTCTTATCAACCTCAAGTGCATTTTGGTATGTTTACATATAATTGAAAGATTCAATTAAGTTAATTAAATATATTGTTTTGAAGCTGCCTATATCCACAGGGGCTCATGTGTCACATTTTCCTTCTACATTTTTGCTTCCTCAAAGATTGAGATTACATATTAGCAAAAATTCCACATAAATCCTAAGGAGTTCAGTAAATTGGATATCTGATATCCTGTTGAGACTTTATTATAAAGATTTCCGCTCCACTTTTTAAAGTGTGAGTGGCTTCAGGTAGACATGGACATTTAATTAGACATTTATATTTTTTTTCAAACAGACAACCCAAGGTCATTCCCTGTAAGAATATCTCCTGTAGTCACTAGTGAAATTGCTTTTAATGTATTAGTGTTCCCAATTTCTTCCTCTCTAGCCTCTGAATGTCCTTTTAAGAACTTTAGAAAACCACCCAGAAAACAACAATCTAGCATGATATAATATTGGTGTATTCATAAGGACAAAGAAAGAACATTTCAAGTTAATATTTTATTAACTTCATTAAAATAAATTCTTCAAGTGACTTAATGCACCCTTCCTATTGCTGAAAAAGACCTTATAATTGATAAAAAGATCACAGTGAAAATATTGATATCCTTTTCATTAATTTGAAATTATACATTAAAAATATACACAGTCCATAAACTCAGACTATTTCATGATTGACTAACTGGTAACATGAAAATGTTCTGCAAATAAACTTTTAAATGAGACAATAAACAGTCTTGCTTCAATAAAAGTCACCTCCAATAGTCCAAGGATTTGAAATCATAAACTTTATAACAAGCATAGGTAAGTTTCATTGAGTTATGAATGCACATTCTGGTTTCACTAGCATTGTAATCTGCACTCTGAAGATGAGCCAGTCTTTATGACACGTATGTTCAGCTAAAATTCAGGTTTCATTTGCCCCTCCTTAGAGTACATACAGTGGTAGTAAGATATAAATAAACCACTCCCCTCTGGTAAAAAAAAACTCCATTCTTCTATTACCCTCAGGCTCTTTGTGGGAGCAAGAAGGTAACTTGGTATTGTTGAGAAGCCCTCTCTCCTCTGGCACCTCCATGGTATTTTATAGCCATAGATATATTACCATCATATCGCCTCCTCTGCCTTGCACAAGTATGCACATGACAGACCGACAAGTGTTTAAAAATCAACTGAAGCAACAATAGATAATTCTGCAATGCAAAGTTTTTCTCCAGGGATTCAAGGGGATTCCAGGAAGGTGGAAGAGTGGCTATGCGGGATAGATAGAAAAGCAATGATTTTGTCTGTATCCGAGATATGGCTTCTGTTTCAATGAATGCTGAATGGCAAAAGTTATTTCCTGTAGAGTACAGGAAAGGGACCAGGGAGAGGACAGAGGAGAGGGAAATGGGAACTACTGGGGAATGATATTGGCCAAAATATATTATTATATTATGTGCATATATGAATATGTACCTGTGAATTCCACTACCATGTACAGCTGTAATGCACCAATAAAAAATATGGGAAAATTTTTAAAGTTATTTGTTTCCAACAAAGGTAAGAGAAGGCCAAAGCAAGGAAAAATGAAAAGGCTAGGTTGACAAAAATGTGTAAAGTGTGAATCTCCAACCACACATATACTCCAAAGTCTCTGCTTTTGAGACTACTAAATTTTATATAATAATAAAGATGTAGGATTGTGTGTTATATTTTGAAAATATTTTAACTTTTTCCCAAAATTTGTCATGATTCCACTGCCTCACAAGATCAGGTGCTGATTATCTGCCTTATTCTTATCATTGCTAGATGTTTTGCTAATTTTTAATGGGGTTTAGAAAAAGGAAAATATTTTTTTCTAAAGTTTCATAAAATTGTCACTTAAACCAAAGGTTGTCATTAGTTAATGAGAAAGAATATGATAATAAAAAGAGACATATGGGGGTTCAGAGACAAAATGTCACATTGTAGAAAGGCTAAATTGGTGAGAAAGGGAAAGGAAGTGCATTGAAAAATGAATGACAACATTGTTTTCATCAGTTCCACACCACACAAAAAATGTGACCTACCTAACTCTTGGTGCAGCTTGGAACAATTTGCTAAATAATGGATTTGCATATCTATGACATGCAAACCTGCTTTGGCTTCTACCACCTACTGTACATTTAATATTCTAAAATAATTAACAATATAGCTGACAGCACTTTTTCAGTACATGGTTTTTAATTATTCCATATAAAACATAACTCCTGTTACAGTGAGGAATGTGACAAGGAAACCAAAGGAATATAGATTAGAAAGTGAATTTTTTGTCCTTGATTTACTCTTTTACCTGAAGTCCCTATATCAATAAAAAAGGAATCTGGATCTTCATGAAATGAAAAATTATTTTGCTATATTAAATACTTATTACAGTATAAATATTTGAAATATGAGATTTTCAGATGCATTAATTTGACAATGAGAGGCTTCATAATTTTGTGTTGTTTTCTTGGCCTGGTTTACTAATTTATTATGCAAGATTAGTTTTACTAACATATATTGCTTCCATATTCTTACAGAACATAAGAGAAAAATACATAGAAGAGAAATTGAGACTATTGGATGAAATCAACTCAACCTTCTACTTCTATGATATAAGACTTACCTACATCTGAGTGATTTCTCAATTTATCTCATTGAATAAGTTGCTCATTCTACTAAAGAAAAATATTAGGTGCCCTTGTGTTATCAAAGTCTCCTGGCTTCACCATTATTCTCTCTTTATTCTTATTTTAAACATTTTCTTTGCTACTAATCCTTTCCTAACAGTTATTAAAATGATTACTTCCGTCTCAAATTGAACAATTATCCCTTGACTTTTGACACTGTCATTCCTCCCTTTTGTAATTGCATTCATGGAAACAGCAGTGCATGCTCACAATGTTTGGTTCATGGTGTGCTGTTCATTCTTTAAAATTTTGAGATTATTCCTGCACCAGGACTCCATTGAGACTGGCATTAAGAATGTCACCAGTGTGGTCCTAAGTGTCAGTCCCAATAAGCTTCATTTAAACTGGCCTCTTTTGAGTCATACCAAACTTTGAATACTCCCTGGAAGTATTACAATGGCTTGGATTCCATGATACCTCATTCATTCTTACTGTTCTTCTCTCCCTCTCCCTCTCTCTCTCTCTCTCTCTCTCTCTCTCTCTCTCTCTCTCTCTCTGTGTGTGTGTGTGTGTGTGTGTGTGTGTGTGTGTGTTTTCAATATGATTCACAGTTGTTTCATGTCATGACGCATAGGTAAATGGTGCAAAGGGGAAATACATGGATGGTACACTGGGGTGAACAGATGAGGATGCTCAGAGTTGGAAGAGACCAAACTAACTTGGCCCTACCTGGTTCCCCTGAGAGAAGAAGGAGGGCACTTTTCTAGCAATCTTATAACACATTTATGGCACAGCAACTAATTATATGTGATCAAAACGACATGTTTTCCTGCATTTTGGACTAGCAATTTAACTCTCCCCATCTAAAGTGAATTCAATATTTTTTTTTCTGATTTACTCAAGTTTTTGTGCTATTTCCCTTTTTTTTGGTAGTCATGCCACCCTTGGCTTGTTTTTTATTATCACATTCCAAAAGCAACCACTTCTAAATCTTATCTGGTGTCTTACTGACCTGTCCTGAAGAGTCTACAGTCAGACCTTAATTTGAACATTTTCTTTCACAGTTTACCTGCTTTGTCTCATGATGTTTCCATAAGTAGCCTTGATAAGAATATAATGAATGTCATTTAGTGTATCCAAGAAGTCTTCGCGGGTTACAGATCTAGTGACTCGAGGATCATCACCATAATATTTCCATTCTTTCTGTGAGTAAGAAAAGAAACCACGTTGACAACATTGAATGCAAAACAATTGGTATCCTGGTACTAATCAACCAATAACTTTACCTCTGTCATTTCAATTTCATGCCTTGTCAGTTGGCCAATGAGCGGTGCAGCAACATGCCTGATGATAATTCTAGCATGAGTAGGAGTCCCACCTCGAATGATAACTTGAGGTTTATAAGTAGAGAAGCCTGTCTCTTCCCGAGCCTCAAAATAGATTGTGTACTTGAGTTTGCCTCCGTAGGCCATCAACTAACAAAAGAAAATGGAGATGTAGGTAATACTCCAAACAGTGTGATTCTAAAAGCATCTTTTACTTTTTACTTTGTTTTTATGTGAATTCAAAAGTGTTTGTATGTATGTATGTATGTATTTATTTATTTTACCTTCTTTCCTTCAAATTGTTCTGGGAGTTTCCAATAAAAAGGTTCCAAGTGGAGGTCTTTTCTCACCAGATCCATGTCTGCTACAATCTCAGGATGTTGAAATGCAATGCCTTTGGTAGTTGTGTGCTGCAGAGCCTCGTCCACTAGAGGCAGAATGGTCTGCTCAGCCTTCAGAGTTACCTGGGTTAGGTAAAAAATGCAACCGGAAGTTGAGTTGAAAGTCTTTGGGGCATTACTTTAAAACTAAGTTATGCGCTGTACATCTATCTACGGTGCCTATTCCCATTCTATTGAGGGGTTCTCACAAGAAATAGGGCACCTAGTGGTGAGCATGTCAGGGGATGAGTCCTTTTAACTAGTGTGCATAGTGAAAACTATAATATCTGAAAACTAAAATATTTTATACTAATAAAAATAGAATTTAAAAGTAAAAAGAGTTAAAAGAAAATTAAGGCTAAATATGAGCAGGCTCCCACACTAAAAACTAAAGATTTCCTAAGGACTGTTGGAATACATGTAACAAGTTCTGGTGGTTTTTATTGCTGCATTACTACATATCAAAATTCATGCTCTGGTGCCCTCATTCCTCAAGACAGAGCTTCTTCCCATGTGAAAGGGTAATGCCTCCCTGACAATGCTTCCTCTTCACTTCACATCTATTTCCTTATCAAGAATAAATGAACTATCTTTAAGGAAGAATTTTTTAAAAAGTCATTTACTCCAAGTGCCTAATGGCACATAGCCCCTTTACCATTTCTGAACGTGCACAGGGGAAAAGATTACTTAAATGTTTTGCCATTACCTACCATCCCTCGGTGGCCAACTAAAAGATGCCAGCAGGAACTAACATTATGCCATTACACGGCTCAGCAACTCCTTACTCACCCACGTTCGGATCAGTCCTTTTGCTTCAGAGCACCCAGTAGTAACACCGAAGCAATAGCAGCTGCTGCAGCCAAGTGGGTTCTTGGCATCAAGTCCAAATTTCCCTGGCCGACACCTGTCACAGTGGATGCCTTCCACATTCACCTGAAGAAAGAGGAGAGCCCATTCGAGTTCATAACAGCAATGTTAGGGGGAGATCAACTTAACAGTGAATAATAGGAACACATTTATACTTCATTAATAAAATAAAAGAATACTGAATATTAGACTCACATCTTAATGCCATATGTATTTAAATTCACTGTTAGGATTTCATGGGTTTTTAAAAGAAGTATTTTGTTTATAAATGCATCAATTACTAAGGGTAGTGGATACATATGTTTTAAATTTAAGTGGCACTTTTCCCTACAATTTTGTTGTGAGCAATATGAAAGCCTCATGAGAATTCCAAAAGTAAAATTAAAACAGGCAGAGGTTAAAAAATGTACATTTTCAAGTTATAATATAATGTCTATGTCATATAACACATATTATATACAGCACATAAATATAACTATACTATGTAATAATGTAGCCTTGTACTTAGTTTTGACTGGGTCCTTTGTTGATAGAAGTTGTCATTTTCCTAAATCCTTAAGACTATACTGATAACCACTCCCAGATTATCTCTTTCTGTTTTCTCTGTCTCTCTTTCCATAGATTTTATCTTGAAAAGATCCCTGGGACACAGTTTTAGCTGCATGTATCCTGGATTGATTTTTCAGAAATATTTAATGGCAAAAATCCTCATCCTTTTTAATTGTCTGTTTTTCTACATCATTTCACAATATTAATGAGAGCTGAAATTTGCACAGTCACTCTTTGTAATATCAGTGTTTGTATGTGGTGAAATTTTACTGAACTTTCTCAGCAGTAAATTAATTTCCCAATATGCAGTGATTAAAGATTAAGTTTAGGAGAAATTTTTTTTTAAGCGTAGTGTTTAGCTGTGATTTTCTCTGATGTTTAGAAAAAGTCTTATTTGCCCCACCCCACAGGTTATTCTAGTTTAATCAAAGGAAATATATATTTTAAAAAACTTCTTTAGCTTTACTATTGAAAATACATCATCTCTATCAACTGGAAAAAAGTTGGATTTGGGTTGAAAGTAAGTTATTGAAAAGCATAACTTATCTGTGCTGGAGAACTTGAGAAATTCTGGCAATGACTTTTTTTTTTTTTTTGGTACAGTGTAATGAAATAGGATTAACAAATACCTCATGAAGTTGAAACTGAAGAATGGAATCAGAATTGAGGCTTTTCCTTGAAGCATTTCAACAGTATATTACCTTACAAGTGCACTGCCCAGTTTGATCACTACAAGAGCATTTTCCAGTCTCTGAGTCACAGGTGGAGGCATCTGTCCCTGGCCGGAAGCAGTCACAGAGATTGCAGTGAGGGTAGTTCCAGTGACCTCTATTACACTCTGCACATTTTGCACCAGAGAATTTTGGGTGACACTTGCACTGGCCTGTGTTCACATTGCACTGGAAATCCAAGGAGCCCACCATGCTGCAATTACAAGCCTACAGAGGAGAGAAAGACGGTGACTGTTAATACAGCTTCATAGGAAATATTTTCAACTTTAATCTTAGCGCTCCTAGGCTTTATTCAAACACATAACAATCCTGTATCTATCGTATGCTTTGTACTACTTGTTTTAGTTACTTGGGAAACATCAGTAGATCCAAAAGTTAAAATTGTTCCTTCCATTTATACAAATAGAAATCATAATGCTATGTGAATAAGAAGAAATGTATTTATTTCTGTCTTTCCATGGTGGGGAAGGGTTACATATGGGTTTTCTTCATATACTTTTTGCTTCAAAGAGTATACTTCATACAACCAAATTTCATTTCATATTCACTACACATTGATTCACTACTGCAGCATGAAAGTTCTATGGGAGCATACCTATGTCCAGTGGAGGGAGACCAATAAATACGAATTATAACATGACAGAATAAGCACTATACAATGGAAAATGGTATGAGAACATAAGAGGAGAATCAATCCAGATGCAGGGAAGCCATGGAGAGCTTCGAGAATTGAAATCTTATTTATTGATTTTTGAAGTTTAGCTTTGCAGACAGCCCAGATTTGAGGGAATTGACTGGTGACCTCTGTTCTTCACCTCAGTTGTATGCATTATTTTCAGTTTGTTTATGTAATGCAATTTTTTTGCTCAAAATTTTAAAAACCTGAGGGTTTTCATTAATTTACCAGAACATGGTGAGTTGTTTCAGTTTGAGAAATAATAATAATAGTAATAATAATAATAACAATTATTATTATTATTACTATTATTATTATTATTTGGTATTTAGTACTGGGGTTTGAACTCAGGGGCACTAAAACACTGTGCCTCAAACCCAGTCCTTATTGTATTTTATTTAGAGACAAGGTCTCACTGAGTTGCTTATTGCCTCCTTGAATTGCTGAGTGTGGCTTTCAACCCTTGATCCTCCTGTCTCATTTTCCTGAGTTGCTGGAATTACAGTACATAATTGTTTTTGATGCAAATTTGACTCTTATTCTGATGTATTGTTGATATTTTTATCTGTTCTATTTTATTAATTTTGTTCTTCAGGATCAACTATAATTCTTAAAGGACATTACTTTTATTTGTCTGTCAAATCTAAATCTCCTAATGTCTTCCCTAATCCTCTTCCTTCCTTTACCTTTCTAGTTGTATTGACATCTCAAATTGACATTCTCCATTTTTTTCAGCTCCTGTTTTATATAATGAGAACTTTATGGTATGTCTATAGCATCAATGCATGTTTTAATTACAATTGCAGTTTTATCTTCTTTTGAATAATTTCTTTTGCATTTCACTCATTTTCAATTTCTGATCTCCCAGTTGTCCTTTTGTCTTACATTCTTAAAGTTTCTGCTCTTGATCTAGAGTTCATATCTCTTGACATTTAGTGACATTTAGGAATCCAGTAGATTCCTAACAAGTCATTTAGAATCTTGGAATAAATCATTTTCAGGGGCCATTTGTGCCACTTGTCAAACTACAGGCTCTAGCTCCAAATCCACCCTGCTTTATTGTAGTGAGACTTTGTAGAAATGTCTCTATGGCCAGGTGGCAGTGTGTCAAGCTTTGTTAATAGAAGGCACTGAAAAGATCCAAAGAGGTCCAAGAAACTTCCATCCTGTTTATGTTTCTTTATTAATATTGTTACCATTATTATTTTATTATTCAGTACAGAATTAAGGCCCTGAAGGGGTCCCAGCTGTGCCTTCAGGCCACTCTCCCCCATAGGCACTTTTCTCAATGGCTTCTCGCCGCATCATACAACTCTGAGATGATACTGCTTCTGAATAGCTTCTGCATGTCTGTGCTCCACCAAAATGGTACTGCTTCCAAAGATGAGCACTTGCCCACTAACTCTAATGATTTGCTGTTTTTTTTTTGTTGTTGTTGTTAATGACAAGTAGGCTGTTGATACCTGTGGTTTCTATACCTTCCTTTGAATGTCAGCCTCACCAGGGTGAGGAGTGTGCTCCATCCTAGCCCTCAGTTCGTTTAGTGTCAACTCTCTCTTGGCTGACAGGTAATAGTTGCTCCTTTCTACATGCTATGTAATTCTTTTATTATTTTTAAATTAGTAATTACCTTTTTCAGTTAACCATTATTTATATACAATTTTCCCTGTTTACATAAACTGTATGGTTTCTCTCTCCCTTCTAGGGCCTGAGTTGGTACTCAAATGAGACTCACACCTCTCTGACTTTACCACCAGATGGTGTTTATGCTTTGTGACCTCACTTTATCATCCTTCTCAGATCTACAGCTCTAAGGCAGAACCAAGTCTGGCTCCCACTTCATTGCTCAGCTTAATTCTTCTATCCACTGTCGATGGGGACATCCCTGCTTCTGTTCCTCCTAATAATAGCTTACTTAGAAGACTACTCTTTCTAGGATGTAATATACAATCATCAGTTTCTCTTGTGGGTTTTTTTTTTGTTTTGTTTTTCTGCTCAAATGTTTGGTGAAAAATCTTCTGAGACTCTGATATGAAAACAATCAGGCTTTACTTTGAGTGTTTTACAGTATTTTTCTATCTCTTCTTTGCGCTGGAAGAAAAAGGCTGCAATAGAGATGGCTACTAAAGTTATTTTAAACCAAAAGTTCCAAAATTATTTGTTATATTACAAACATGGGCATAACCCATTGTAATAACCTCCAAGTAACTCATCTTTGTAGAACATCAGATGTAGAATGAAGTTTCAAAATTATGATGGTTTACTAATTCATTCATATAAATTTTCCTTGCCAATTGCATTGAATATGTATCGATTCACCTAAACAAGATTTGCCATAGTCAGAAGCAAAAGTATGATGTGGTATGGAAAACTACAGTTGTAGTTTTAAAAGCCCTGTGAAACATACATATCTTTAAATAATAAAAATATGAAATGTCTGCTACTGAATTTATTTTTCAAAACCATAGATAGCACAAATACTTGAGGAAGAATTGAGAGTAGACAGTGGGACCTGTCCATATCAGGAAGTTTATTTAGGAAGTTAGAGTGAGGAATAAATGAGGCTATTAACTATATGCATAGATAACATGATATTAACATCAAACCTAAATAATAATTAGATGTAATGTTTGTTTAGCAATAAAGGATTTATTCACTATTCCCCTGCTAGTAAAGTGGCAGCTTTGTATTCTACTTCAATAGCAGTTCAAATGATGTGTGTGCTTACACCTCAGCTCAGAGAAATTATCCATGACACAAAGAAAGAGAAGCTAAATCCTCCAGTCACCGATCATTTAAATTAAACTCATCCAAGTTTTGTAAGTACTAGAATGTATGCTTGTAAATAAATTATTTGTGAGGGCTACATTAATTGTTACATTGTGTGGTTCTTTATAATGTAAAATGTGTTACTATTCAGAAGTTTAGATTTTTAAAAATTGTTCAAAGTAATCAAAAATTTAAATCAGCTTAATGTTTATCCAAGGGCCAATAAAGTGATAGCACTGAAAATAACTATGCTTTTATAGAGATTTAAATTATATTCTATTCTGATTTACATCCTAAACATTAACTAGCAGCTGTAATTTTAGGAGTTTCATTAGAGTTTGGCTATATCATAAGACTTTGTGGATAGAAGGGAAGAGATCCCTCAAATGCATGGATATGATATTGGAAATACATAAAGTCAATCATAGAAATTTAGAGCATTATTTATATTCATAAGATCTGACATTCTTGAGAAATTTTAGTTTTGTTTGTCAAAATGGAGCTCTAGGAAATTTCAAATTTAACAATTGCATGGGCAATAGAAAAATGAATGTCCTGTGTACTTTTTATTTTTTCTGATCACGTGTTTAATTGAAGTCAGATCAACTTCCTCAAACAATTGCCAATAAATACCCTGTTCTCTCCTATTTCGGTATATTCTAGGTTGGCCTTCAGATGTTTTATCACACACGTATAAAAATGGATAGAGTCTACTATTGTACGTAAGCTGAGTGGAAAAATGAGTTCCCATCTCTAGAGGGATCTAACAAAGAGATAACCACACCTGGTTATCACATTTATCACCTTTCAATATTCCCTAACTCAATCTGATTGATTGGAACAACCCTCACTAACATAACAAATGTCCTTACTTACTGTTCTTACACTTAATGAACACAGTTCATCTTTAGTCTTACTTGGCCTTAATGTTATATTTGGGACTTACGACTGGTTCTTCTTTTTGAACAGACTCTTTCTTAGATTTTACAGCATGTAGAGCTTTACCTCCTCTCTTTTTCAGCTGTTAAACTAAGAAACCAATAAATAAATAAAAACCAAGACACAATTATATCAGACATTGGATAACAGAAATCACAGAAATGTAATTTTGACAAGAGAAAAACAAATGAGGCTGTAGTGTATGGGGGGTGGTATTTCTAAGCTGCAATGCACAGAGAGGAGAAATCAAAGGGACAAAGGGTAGAGTTTAGAGAAGGCAAAGCAACTAAAATTTATGGGAACAAGTATAATATATGTTCGAAAAGCAAGATGTTTGAATGAGAAAGAACTCCAGAGATTTGCACAAGGGAGTGCATATAGAACAAATTCTACTAGTTGGGGAAAATAAAGCATTAAAAAACCCTGGGCTGAGCGGGGTGTGGTGGCATGGCTGTAATTTCAGTGGCCAAGGAGACTGAGACAGGAGGATTGAGAGTTCAAAGCCACCCTAAGCAAAAACAAGGTGTTAAGCTACCCAGTGAGACCGTGTCTCTAAATAAAATACAAAATGGGATTGAGGATGTGGCTCAGTGGTCAAGTGCCCCTGAAATCAATCCCCAGTACCAACAAAACAAAACAATACAAATGAACAAAAAACCAAACCAAACAAACCAAACAAAAAAATCCTGGGCTGCGAAAATCCCTAGACTTCACAGTGATCCTGAAATAGTCTATATTCCCAACAGCAGGACAGGAGAGCCACAATATAATGCTTTGGGTAATGTTCTCAGAAGGGTCACACTTTAGTAATAGAGTTAAGTGG